CTTTTTCAAATTACTTTTGTAATTTAGACCTTTGAACACACAATATCCATAGATATTGGCACAGGCCTTAGAAACCTTTGCTAATATTTATAATTTATTTATGTTTAATCACCCCTCTCCCAACATCATATGTTTATAGTGATTCTCAGTGAAACCCACTATTCAGAATCACTGTAACACTATGCAGCTTGATAAATTCGTTTGTGATAATCACAACATGCAGAGCAGTACTTCTTTTTGAAAATAATTTCGTTACTACAATCACGAGTACCGTATTTGCGGAATAAAAGCCCAAGGAAATGATACAATTAATACACGTAGTACTCGGGATACTATGGCTAATATCCATTTTATTAGAATATTAGCTAATGATGAATAAATGTATAACGATAATAGTCGCTTTATTTTTTACCATAAATCGATATAGTACACGGATTTTTTACAACGAAATTGCTTAAAAAAAAAAGAAAGGGAATACATGTATTATGCTAAGGAGGGTACGTATTGTGTTATCGTTATGAACACTATTCAAAATTTAGAATCCACCTTATCGTTATATGTGGGTTTAAAATAATAGCGATAGTAATAATAATGATGATTTATATGTGTGGAAGTCGATTTCTGCGTTACGAATTGAATAACATAAAAAAATAAAGGAAGAGAAAATATTAATTTTTTGCTAAATTGTTAGTCACTAATTAAAAATAAAATTTTACCTGAGCTATCATTCTTTCTAACTTGTCTTAATTTAATAAAAATGAAAGCTTTCCCCTTTTATTTGATTCTTTCGACACGTATTCAATAGGACGTTTGCTGATCTTTGAAATCTAGTGTTTGTTAAAAAAAAAATAGTATACAATATTTTGAAACGCTCCGTCATCGTCGTTGTTAACGAAAAAATTTACGTTGTGTTTGGATATTCTTTCGGACATCTTTTCCATCATTCTTGTGAGACATATGCTAGCATTACATTATAAAGTAAAAATATAAAATATATATCCAAAGTCGTGGTATAATTCATAAATTTTACCTTCATTTGTTTCATTTTTAATATCTATATCATATTCAGTAGTCACATATTCTAGAGTTATATGCAAACAAATATGTTTAATATATTTTAATAGAAGTAATATAATAAGCGATTTTACCTTCGTACCTTCGTCTGGAACAAACAAACAGTCACTTGACATTCCTAAACACTCAATATGAAATTTAATTAATATGAAATATCAATAGTAATCATACTTAGAAATAAAAAATACCTGTGTCAGTTGGAATTGAAATTAATTTTGTGGTAAAGATTTGACTGGTGTAAACTGCATTGGAATGGATTTCTTGTTTTTTGTTCGTATTCGTAGAAATACTCTTTTTTAATTTCATCTCCTTATCAAGTTCATCTAATTTCTGCTTTTCTAGTTCGAGACACTCTTCAATTTCTTCACGTGTCTTATTTTCTAAAGAGCTGTAGTGCTGAAAATGTAAAGTATTCGGTTTTCCATCATATTCGTAGGTAGATTCAATAAAGTATTCGAGTTCGTCAATAGTTGGTCTGTTTTCTGGAATAGGATCCCAACGTTTTTCAATAATAAATTTGAATAATTGAGGAACATTATTTGGTATCATAGGTCGTAATCCTTTATAGATGTCAAATACGAGATGTATGTCATGACTTCGTTCTCCAAATGGTCGTTCACCTGTGGCAATCTCATACGTCATCATCCCGAAACTATAAATATCTGCTGCTTTAGTATATGGCTTTCCATTTAGTACCTCTGGACTCATATAAGTAAGTACTCCGCAAATTTCTTGATTAGCTTTATTTAGATTAGCCGGTTTACTAAGTCCAAAATCAGCATCGATCTCGATGTCGATTTAATATATTTCCAGGGTGAAAGTCACGATGCATAAATTCCTCATCGTGAATTTTACTCAACCCTTGAGTAACACTTGTTAAATATTCTAATTTCTTTTTCCAAGTCGGTAGTTCGTATCGGTATTTGAAATTCATCATATATTCGCGTAGATCACCATCTTTTGCATAATCCATCACTATCGAGTATTTATTCGTAGCTGGGTTTTTTGGTTATTCCATAATAATTTATTACATAACGATAACCCAAACTGCATTTTAGAGCAGTCTGAATCTAATTTGAAAAAGTTAATTAAATTGAAAACAAAAAAGCAATATGTTTTCACTTAAAGGTGTTCATTTTACCTCGTTTATAAACTCGGATGTAATTTGCTTCGAATTGTGTAATGATTTCAACACAACTTCTTTGTCTTTATCATTTTGTTTGAATTTATTCTCTACATGATCCCACATGGGATTGTTCTATTGGACCGTCCAACCAGGTTTCTTTATAAATTAAACCAAAACCTACTTTTGCAAGATATTCAACATTGGTAAATTTTTAAAAGGGATCCACTCGAAAACTGTATAGGTATCAATGTTATTAATGTTATTGCATTCATTTATTAGACTGTCGATATCTTTGTTTCCATTAGACCATTCAACATTAATTCGTTTGTGATGTAGAAAACATCCAACACAGTACTCATTTCTTTGACAATCGGTACATTTACTACAATCATGAGTATTGTGAACTGAACACTCACCACAGTATTCGTATTTTTGAACAGTCGTAACAGTTATTACTACAATTATGAATATTGTGAACTGAACACGCTTTGCAGTAGTTGAAGTCTCGACAACGCCAGCATTTACTACAATTATGAGTTTTAGATACCATCTTTAAATGTATTTATTAGTGATTATGGCAGTGTTTTATTTAAAAAACGATAATTTATTTATCGTTATATGTGTGAAAGTCGTCGTTTCACTTCCGTTTGCATCGATTTATGCATGACACGAACCACATATTATAATGATCATATAATTCTAATAATTATAATAGCATATTACATGTATAATGATTCATTATAATATAATTATTAGAATTATATGTTCATTATACATGTAATTATAATGGCATCATATAACATAAAGTTACCATTTTCAACAAAATTTTCGTAATTCCTTAATTTTTAAATTATTATAAATTATCGATATCGATATCGATATGTAAACACTTATCGTTATAGGATCTACCGCTAGTGACTGAGAAATTAAGGAGTACATGCACTTCCTTACATGAGCCCAGAGTACGTACCAAATACATGTAATCCTAAACACATGAAGAAATTCTTGAGTGTCTTAAACTACAAATAAGTCGGAACAAAAAACACATGTACCGGTACGTAGATATATCGATAATACAAGTGTACTCATGTATAGAAATCCAATGTCTAACATCCAATTGATCTCATTGGACCATTGGATGTGGCATCGTTACGTATTAACGTTAACTTTAATGATGCATTGAAGTGTATACACAGATTCGGTATACATGTACTACATACGTACTACGCTTTTGGATTAGACGTAAAATCCGGCTTTACTTATTTGTGCATGTAATTTATAGATATTACAGGATAGGGTTAGGGTTAGGGTTAGCGTTAGCGTTAGGGTTAAAGCGCGTGCATCTATGTACCCCCATCCGATTTGGTTATGATAAAAAGCAGCCAATAAGAATAAATAAATTTTTGATCAACCCCCCAGGTTAAAAGCGAGAGCAAGGTTATATATATCCATTTTTGGGTTTGTATTGCAAATAAGTATCCATTTTTGGGTTTGTATTGCAAATAAGTATACCCGTAAAATCCAATGTCCAATTGGACCATTGGAAGCTCGAGAAGATAGTCATTTTTGGTCAAAATTACCGTTACGTAAGGATTTATCATGTCCTTCGTCCCTAGTAATCTCTTTTACACTTGAAAACTATAAAAGTTTTCAATTATACGAATTCATAGCGATAGTACAAAATTATGACTTATTCAAATAGAATCGTGTTATTGATATTCATTATCTTAATTGTTTCGATATTTTTCGAAGCTTTTGAATCCAAACTTCACAAGTCCATAAGAAGAACCGAATTAATCTCGAATTTTAAACGTCTTTTCGCTCCAACTTCAGAAAAATCATTCACTACTTGGTACGGAACAGAAATTACACCCAAATATATCTTTAGACCTAAATCTCTTGATGACCTTAAAGATATCGTAAAAAACGCTAAAACGAATGGAAAAAAGATTCGCTGTGTTGGTCAAGGTCATACGTGGGCATCGTTGTCGATCACCAAAGATTATTTGGTGATTGTAAATAATCTAAATCAAATTGTTGAAATAAAAAAGACAGATAAATATGGATGGACTGTTACTGTACTAGCTGGTATTATATATAACACTGTTTTATATAATATTGTTTTATATAAAGATTGTTAAGCAGATTTATAACGCATACATTCGTGTCATATCTAGGCACACAAACCAAGACAATCGAACAGGCATTATTGAACAATAAGCCACCCTTAGCTTTTGAATCGATGGTCGTTCCTGACTACTTTAGTGCTTCTGGTCTTATTGCCGTTGGTGCTCATGGTTTCAAGACTGGAGGTCCAGGTGTTTCTGACTTGGTTGTAAAGCTACAGATAGTTACTGGTGATGGTGAATTGCAAGAATTTTCTAACGAAAAAGATCCAATAGAATTTAACACTGCACGATTAAATTTAGGTAAATTTATTGGAGGTGATCGATCGATCACACACTTGTAATGTCGATTAATATTAACAACAAATGTATTTATAACAGGATTACTAGGTATCATTTATTCCGTTACTTTTCGCGTCGAGCCACTTTTTAACCTACGTAGTGATAATATTGTGGTCCCAATTAAAGACTGGCTTAAACCTGCAAATCTCAAAAAACTTGTTTATGATTCGGATAGTATAGAGTTTATTTATTGGCCATTCAACAAAGGTCATATTGATTTATCGTCCGACGACTTGTGGATAAAGCAATTTATTCGAACACAAGATCCGCCAACAACGACAAAAACAGCTCTTGATTCAATTGTTGATGGTGCTTTACTTCAAGCCGCTAATACCTCGGCGGAATTTCTGTTAAAACATACTGAGCTCACTCCAGCTGTAAAGGGAGCACAATGGCTTCTATATAAAAAGTCATTTAAAAGCGAAGTGTTGATAGCGCCAGAAGCTATTCATTTTCTGAATGGATTAGACGGTATTCAAGCCGATGATGTATCATTTGCCTTCAAAATTGACCCGGATTTCACGAATGTTGCTACGGAACTTTTGTTTCTCATACAGAAGGTAGAACTTTATATTATTTCTGTTCTTATAAGTGAGAAACGTTCTTTATCTAATTCGATTTATTGTTTTATCAGGTTGCTGAATATGCAAAAAAAGGCAAATTCCCTGTAAACATTAGTACGTCTGCTAGAATCATAAGAGCTTCTGCGGCTTTACTGTCACCAAATTTCGATAGTGATCCAAATGCATATTATTGTTTCATCGAAGCCAGCACTATTAAGAATACTCCGAGCTGGGTTGAATTTTTCAATGAAGTAAGCGCACGATGGATTAGTAACTACCAAGCTAGGTAAATAGATTTGCTGCATTGATATTGATTAAACGTATACGTTGTTGTTCTCATGTTAATTAATATTTTTATACCAGACCTCATTGGGCTAAAGAGTGGGAATCTTTGGCTGGTATTAAACCATTCCTTCGAACAGGTTTAGGAAACCGTCTTGAGACATTTGAAAAAGTTCGCGCTAAATACGATTCTAATAAAACTTTCTTCGATAATGATTCGTTGAAGCAGATATTTTATGGGTAGATGTCATGAATATTATCGTTAGAATTAAGGGTAATAGATTATGACGAAGTAGAAAAATATTTCTAGAATCAAGAAAGTAACAAAAATGACATCTTTCATTTTTTGTTCTTTACACAAAGAAAGCACAAACTTTTATGTTAACGTTAATAATTAACTAAATTTGATACGTAGAAAGTAATGGTTTAATAAAATACATGTTAATAACAAATTGAAGTTGATAATAATTTCACGAAAAACAATTACGTAATTTTTGTGGGAGATCATGATGAAAACGGATTATGGTGAAATTTTTGGCCAAATCATGAGATCATTTGGCCAGAATTATTGATAATTTCTTATAATAAAAGTGCAATATTTTGAAAAAATGATAAATGTATAAAATATATAACTTAAATTAATTTTGCATAGTTTATAATAAATATTGCAAATTTTCACCATAATTCGTTTTTCATGATCTCCCATAATTATTACCAATACCAAAATATTAAAAGATTCAGAAAACTTTGACTTTGACTTAGAGAAATATTCAAAGAATTTGACAAAAAACAGGCCAAGATGACATCCTTAATGAATTGAATTAACTTATTGTTGCTCTAAATTTTGAGTTAATTTCTAAAAAGAATCTGATATCAATTAAAAATTCAAAGATAATGATCATATATAAAATGGTTTAGAGACTTTGAAGTTGCAACAAGAGCCAATGATATTACTAATGATAGACAAAATTTACAAATGAATCAGATAAATACTAATAGAACACATATATATTATTAATATAACTAAAATTGTTGATAACTAATTCAAAAGAATTTGTTTCAATTTATTATTAGCTTCAAAGTAAAATTTCTTTTAGTTTTCAAAATCTAACCAATAAGTTAGAACTTTTGAAAATATCTAAAAGTAAATCAAAACTGATGACCAAAATTATTCTTATAATTAATTGTTATAACTATAATGAAATTGAATTCTTATCTCAAAATTGCATTAAATCATATAATCAAGCCAACTTTTGACAAAATACTACAAGAAATTATCAACTCGGGAATAGTTGAACTACAGTTGTCCAGCCAACACAAACAAATAGTAATAATAATGATCAAATAATCTTTTGACTCGAGTTAGCTGTACTACAAGCATTAACCTCAGCTCAACAACCACCACATCAAACACTAAGAAGTCAATAATAATCAAGAAAGTTTACCTTCGTTTGGAACAAACAACCTAACACTGGTAGGATCTATAAATTTTAATTCATAAAATGCTTTATATTTAGAAACTTAAAGTACCATATCATTCGGAATCGAGACTGCTATAAACTGCATTTGAATAGATTTTGTTTGTATTCGTAGAAATGCTTTTTTGAAATTTTATTTCCTCATCAAGTTTTTTACATTCCTGCTTTTCTGATTTAAGGCATTCTTTATTTCTTCATGCGTTTTAGAATATTCAAATAATTCAGTTCCTCATCTTAATGAACCTGTTAGTATCTTTGATAGAGTAGATAAAATCAAAAAGTTTCTCCGCAATTATCTGTTTTCTGGAATAGGATCCCATTTTCAATAATAAATTGACATCCGAAAACATTATTAGGTATCTTACCGTTAGGTCGTACACTTTATAAATGTCTAATATGATAAATTGTCTTTCGCCTGTTGCGATCTCGTACATAATCATATGAAGCTACAAATATCCGCAGCTTGAGTGTATGGCGTTCATTCAGTGCCTCCGGACTTACATAAGAAAGAACTCTGCAAATTTCTTGTTTTGATAGTTTTAGGTTGTTGAGCTGATAAGTGAATTTTACGCAGATTTTTCTTCCCATTTCATTCTTTCGTACGTAACGATAATTGGGATTAATGTGCATTCATTTCCAAACTGCATTTAAAGAAGTCTGAATCTGTTTTTGAAAAACCTTTTTGTATTAGAAAACAAAAAATGCATATTGCTTACGCTTTAGAAATGGTTCTTTTTTACCTCGTTTATAAACTCTAATTTAATTTGCTTTAATCATGTAGTCTTGTTTATAAAGTATAAGTCGTTAAATTTATTTTCTCCATGATCCCACTTGTTCTAAACCCTCTTTTTACAATATATTTAACGTCGGTGAATCTTTCAAAGAAGATCCATGTAAAAGATCTAACTTTCGCACATTCTTTATTAGACTGTAGATTTCTTTATTTTCACTACCATTATGTATATTCGAAATGTTAGATCCATCTTTGCGTTCGAGTTCACTTTTTCTGATTATCGTTACGTGCAGTGTTTTGATTGTTCTTTTATACGTACATAGTCAAATACCCCCCCCCCCCATCGTACCGATGATTAATATCGATATCGTGTTTTCATTAATTTCTTTTATTATTGCTATATGTCCTTTGGTGGCGCAAAACAGATTTCGATTTAAGTACATCAAGAAATCAAAGAAAACAAAGAAGTATGAGATCTAAAGTGTCTTAAAAACTACAAATTCATGATGAAACACTTTCACCAAAATAAAGAACGCTGCTTTTCGTCCAAGGAAAACGGTAGCTACTTTAAAATTTTTGTCCAATACGCAGTGGTTTCTATTATTTCTTAACTTTTTTTGCGTTAACGCATAGTTATGTTTATCAAAATTCATTATTTATCATTGATGTTACTCTCTTGCAATTGTTAATACATATATTGATTTCATTTTTCATGTATGCTTGAGAAATTTCTATCGTTTACTATCGTTGTCGTTATCGTTATAGCATATTGATAAAGTGTGCATAAATTGATTTATTTTATTACGCGCCTGCAATATGCACGTATTTACACATATACGTACTCACTCAAATAGAAGTTGAATACGTATTTGTATGGTTTGCCATTTAACACTCTCTGGGTTGATATAAGAAAATACTCCGGTGATCCCAAAATCAGCAATGAAAACATCAACATTACTAATATAATTCCTGGATGAAAGTCCAAGTCAATTCTTCGTAATTGGAAGTAATAAATCTATTTTTGAAAGATTTGTATTAGAAAATAAACACAACTTCACGTTTATTTCCTTAAATATATTCTCTCTGTGATTCCACTCGTATCGATGCATAGATGCTTTAAAGAATGTCCCCTTTGCAAAATATTCAATACCAGCGTTAGAAAAAGAATCCATTCCAAAGAATATCCCCGATTTCCACGTATTCTTTTATTAGACTGTCGATCTCTTTATTTTCGAGAATTCAGTTTTATAAATTATCGTTATCGTGTATCATAATTTAATCCAATCATTCTCTTTTTGATCAAAGATTAAAATATTCATCAACGAATCATATTCTTGTATACTTTCCACTTTATTTTCACTTTTATTTTCACCCTTATTTTCTCTTGTATTTTCTACTTGAAAATTAATAATTTTGCTATTGGTACATCTTCTCTTAATTCATTTTTCATTATATTTACCCAATCACATTCATATTTATTTTATCTCTTATTTTCACTTATATTTACACTATCATTTTTATTTCTATTTTCTTTATTAATTTTCTCCTAGTTTTATTTTCTTTATTGACAGTTTCAATAAGTCCTGTTATTTTTTTAATTATTATACTAGCTTTATTTAATTTTCTTCTTGTTCCTATTTTTATTTTTAATATTAAATGAATTCATATACAAGCTACCACAAGAGATCTTTGGAATCTTTAGTGAACTCCATTAATCATTCAGTTTTTGTTATTTTATTAATTGTTTCTTTGTTAATTCATTAGTTTCAACAATTCTTAAATTGACAAGAACAATATTTAACATATTATAATAATTATAACCAATCAACTAGAAATCACTGGCTATGCTCATATTATAATGATTATAATCAGTTATATTTATAACTTTTCTCATGTATTATATAAAAAATATAATATTCAAATAACTTAGCAATAAAACTTCAAAGTGAAATTTTGTCATTTCAAAAGATATGTATATTACTAACATAAAAATCTTTACTAAACTATAAAAATGATAAAACTATTTAACTCATTTATGAAATTATCGAAATGAAAATTAATATATAAAAACTTGTATTATTTAATTTGAACTTTCAAATTGAAATAAAGCAAGATTTTATAAATTTATCTCTAAATTAATTCGCATTTGTGAGTTTTATAGTATTACAAGCTTGTTTACTAATTATTAAATTAGTTCACAAACTTGGAACTGAATTAGAAGAGGAAATTAAACAACAAACAAAATATTAAAAAAAAATATATTTAAGTCCTATACCAATTTCTATAAAAATTGTAATAATTTAAAGATATAATAATAATATAAGAGAGTTATAAAAGAATAAAAATCAAAGAAAAAAGAAAAAAAATATAAAATAATAAGAGAATAAATAATAAAAAGAAATTTTAAGTCAGCTAATTTTGTTTTCAAATTTATATTTGTTTTTCATTCATTATTAATAATGTTTTTCACCAAGAAAATTGATACTTTTTGTTATAATTTTTGTAATTTTAAATAAATGATAATCTCAATACAAATCTTTGCTTAATTTTCAAATAAATTATCTGAATATACAGTATAAAGTAAAACATCTATAATCACATATTAGAATTAAAAAAATAACATCATAAAATTAAACTTTAAAAGAAATTAATTTATTAACTTTTAATTTTCTATTATAAATTTTTTTTAATTTAGTTAGTTTTATCGTTATTTAATTAATAATTTTATTAATTTTTATATTTTATTATATATATATTATAATATCATTTACGAAGAGTATAAAGTTAGAGCAGTGTTGATAAATCAATGAATTAAAATATTGAACTAGTATTTTATAATTGTCATAAGTTGGAATTAAATATGAGTTGATTTTAAATTAACTTTAATTGATTTGAAATTAGATATCAAATTAAAAATTTTAAATTATCCCAGATTAACATAATAATAACTTTAATTTAACCAATTATAAATTAATCTAAATTAATTTAAAATTAACATAAAATTCAATTCCAACTTATAATTACTGGATCTTGATTATTGATAATACTAATTATATTAATAATAAATCTGAAATTAATCAATGAAATTAGAGAAGAAATTGATTAGCTAATAAGATGTACTAATTTTAGTATTAGTCATTGTAATTATTATAATAAAAATAAATTAACTTGATTTATTAAACAAATAAAAAAGATAAGATATTTAATAGATTTTTTTGGTAAATTTCTAATAATTTCAATAAATTATTAGAAATTTAGAATTTTTTAAAATAAACTTTAATTAGATTGAAATTAATTTGTAATTTAATTTGAATTGTATATTTTAGAACAGATTAATATTAAATTTGATCTGAAATATTTTAGATCAACTAAAAATTATTATTTTTTATTTAATATTAATTTAAATTAAATGAAATTTATAAATATATATAATTATACTCTGAATAACTCTATTTAAAACAAGTATTTTAATAAAATAAAAGTTATTAATAAAAAATTAGTTTATAATTTTAGAATCAAGTTTAATTCAAATAAAATTTTATTTTAGAGATTTTCAAAAAATACTGTTAATATATTATTTGTTTTTATTTTAATTGCTAATTAAAAATATATGCAAGCTATATTATAATAAAATATAAATTAAAAAAGTTTGCTAATTAATAAATATATAAAGAAAAAATATTAAATATAGTTATTTATTATATATATATAAATAACTTAAATTAAGCTATTATAATTTTAGATATATAATATAAATTATATTTTAGAATACACTTAAAAACATTTAATAAACTTGAAATTATTATAATTTATATATTTTAATGATTGGATAAATATTACAATTTATATTTTAAATCAAATACAAAAAATATTATAATTTGAATTTCATATTATATATTAAAATAATATATTTTATATATAGTCAAATTTCTCTATAATTATACTTATTTATAGTTATATTTCTTTATAATCATTCTGTTTTGCTTTTCTATTTATATATAACAATAATATGAAAATTTCTTTATAGTTATATTCTCTTTATAGTCACCAAATTTTATTTTTCTGAAAAAATAACTATAGAAAGATTTGATTATATTTATTAGAGTTTTAAAAAAATATCTGATTTAGTTCAAGTCTAATTCAATTTAAGCTAGAGTTAGACTTAAATCTAATCAAAAATCTAATTCAAAAATTTGAATCCAATTAAAAGTTTGATTCGAGTTCAGTTTGAATTTTAAATCAAATTCAAATCTAATTAAAAGTTCAATTTAAGTTCAAATAAATATTTATTAAATTTCTAAGTAAAATTATAAATTAGAATTAGAGCTAAAAATTAATATAAAATAGTTAATATAAAAAATAAATATTCAAAAAGATATTTAGATTTAAAAATTATTTTTGTTTAATTTACTTTAGTTACTTTATAATAAATATTTATTTTATTATAATTATAATAAATTATAATTATAAGTAAGATTATAATTAGAAATAAAAGTTATATTTAATATAAAATAATAATTATTAATAATAATTATTCAAAGAGATATATAGAATTTACAATAAAATTTAATAATTATAAAAATAAAATAATTTAATTATCACTAAGTAAACTTTTAATTCTTACTAAATAATATAATTAATATTTATAACTTATAATTAAAGTTATAGCTCTTATTTAAGACTACAAATCTATATATTATTACAAGTTTGTTTATTAATTATTAAATTAGCTTACAAACTTAAATAAAAAATAGATTAACAAAATATAATTACTATATATATATATAATATAAAATTATACTTTAATATATCATTAAATAAATAATAGCAATTTAATATTATGTATTTAGTACTATATATCTCAACTTTGTTTCTTATAAATTAATAGAATTAGTTAACTAAAATATTATATACTTAGTTCAAATATAGTTTTCATATTAGACTCTTTAATAATATGCAAAATATATTTTATTCATTATACAAATAAAATTACAAGTTATTATTTTTTATATTATAAATTTTCAAGATTCATATTTTATACTATAAAATTAATTAAATTATCATTATATAATTATTAATTCACTTTCTTGATTATTCTTAAAAAGTTTATAGTACATAATTATTTTATATTATACAAAATACATCTTAATTTTTTGTATAACTAAGAATGCTTGCTAAAATTCTTTCAAAATATTTTAGTAAAGTTTTGACAGATTATATACTAATTAATTAGAATTTTTGCAGAATTTTAATTTTGATAGATTTCAAAATTTAACAAAATTTCAAGTAGATGAAACAATATAATAACTTGAAAATAAAAGATCATTATCTTTCAAAAAAGCCAGTAATATTATCAAGAATCCAAATTTGTTGCACATTTTTAAATGAAAACAAAAGAATTAATTTGTCAGGAATGATTACCAGAGTAATTTAGTAAATTGCATTAATATGTGACTTGAGATCTTATAAACTCACGTGATCTATAACAAAATGAAATGTAATAGAGTGCAACAAGAATATTTATCCTTGTTATAATACATGTAATAACATAAAATTATTAATTTCAAAAATAATTGAAAACAAAAAATATTCATATAATAACAAAAATTATTTCACTTTTTTATCATTTTTGATTACTTTTTATTATTTAATTTATCTTTTTTATTATTTTCAATTATTTTTTATTATTTAATTTATTTTTTTCATTACTTTTCATTATTTAATTTATTTTTTTATTATTTAATTTATTTTTTTATTATTTTTGATTATCTTTTATTATTTACTTTATTTTCTTATTAATTTTATTGAATTATCTTATTTTTAATTAGTTATCATATTTTGAATTATATTTCAAAAAATATATGGTGCATAACATCTAAAGTCATCAAACGTTTGTATTTACAAAATGTATAAACATCTTTACAAAGAAGTAAATGCAAAATTTAATCCGTGAATATGATAGAATAGGCCCTTTCTGAGCATATTCACGGATTAAATTTTATATTTACTTCTTAGTAAATATGTTTATACATTTTGTAAAATACAAACGTTTGATGACTTTAGAGGTTATGCACCATATAAATAGAGATGATGTTATCTGAGTTTTAATTTAATATGTTGCAAACAAAAAATAAAATTTTCTTAACAAAAATCTTCTTTCAAATAGTATTTATCTCTTTTACTTTTAATTATATATATTAAAGCTTGTATACAAGTGACTTTAAATTGTATTATATCAAACAAAATGCTATTATTGAATTTATTAGCTTTGTATCATATTGTATTGAACAAAATATTATTATTAAATTTATTAATTTTGATTAAGTATTTTAACTTTTATTATTTTGAATTTATATTATTTTTGAATTTGATATTTTGATTATCTTAGCTCTGGAAAGCTTTATACAAATATAGAAAATTAACATTTCAAAATTAATATTTCATATTAAATATATTAGAATATCTATTTTTTATAAATATTTAGCTTAAATGACTAATATTGAGTATGGCTTTTAAAGAATTGATCAATAAAAAAAATAGTAGTCAATAGATTATTTTTTAATAAGAAATCGAAGATTTATTGCACTATCGCTATTAATTGAGTTTGAACAAAATCGAATTTCTCGATTTCATATCGATATACATGTACGCATTAGAGAGGGTGTGCACTTATAGAGGATAGTAAAATACATATAAAAATTTCTTTGTTGATTTTATAATTAAAACAGTTCTTTCATTTATTTCATATATAAAGCGTAAGAAAAAAATTTTTTACTTCCAATCAAAACAGTCCTTGCATTTTAAGTTGCCACAAGTTCTTGTATTATTTTTTATAAAAATTTAGATATACGTATACATGTATATACGTAGCTTGAAAATTTCCATTTTTATGTTTTATTATACATGTATACAGTAATTACCGTTAACGTTAAGTACTTTTTGCGAATCTACATTAGATTTGATAGCCGAAACCTATCGCTATATTGGGATTGAGCGTAGCGGTAGAATAGAATACGTAACTTGAAAAAACTTGAATTCGCATGTACATACTTATGCATGTATTTAGCGTTAGGTCCGATAACGATAAATCAACCCTAAATATGATAACAAAATATTGATATTGCAAATACCTTTCTAATCTGTTATTAAATGATATTTCATCGCTTTTCCAAGAAGCCGAAGACTATAATGTGACAATCAAAGTAGGACAAGGCGATGATATTAAAACTTTTTAAGCACACTCGGTAATTCTACGAGCGAGATCCCAATATTTCAAAACTGCTCTTTTTCGATCGTCAATCGGATGTAATATCGCAATGGAAAAACCAAATACATGTATACGACCAAAAGTGTTTGAAAAAATTCTTTGGTAAATAACGACACTCACACAAATGCAGCTATGTAAAATTTTTATTTCCAGTTATATTTACACAGGAGGATTTGATCAGACTTGCTTGATATTCTTGTCGTTGCTGACGAATTGCTTTTTGAAACGTTAATTATCGCATTCAAATATACGTAGGAACTTCTGATGGATCAGAAAAGAGTTGATCAAGTCTTATCAAAGATCGAGTCTTGAAAATCATCAATGATATTGATTTTCAAATCAACTTTTTTACTTCGATAGAGAAAAATTTCTTTGTTAGCCTGTGAAATGGGGTATCACACAAATTGACGACGGTCCGATTAATGAAAATTTTGAAAACTCGAATTCCGAAGACTTGCGAAAATACTGTGGAAGACTACATTACACATATCCGCTTTTCCAGATTGCAATGAAGATTATATAACCCATATCGATATTAATGTGACAAAATCTATTAAAATTATAATTAATGAAAAGCATGCCCGCCAACATGGATGAAGCTAACGAGCTCCAATTTACGTGTCTTATTTTATCACTGAACTGAATCGCATAAGTCCACTAACATGTCCTAAGCATATTCGGATTTTTTTAACTCCCCCCTTGCTTTGAGTAACTTCGTCCCCTTATTACCTCCATAGTCCTGTCTTACCTCAGAAGTACCATACTCATATATTCCTTTCCTTAGGATGAGGTCACCTCTCATTACTAATGCATTTCGTGGTATCGCGACCAATCCTTGAACAACTTTCTGTTTGTTTTTTCGCTCGAGGAAGTTGAACTACAAGACTCCCATCTGACAACATCCATCCCGCCAAAACACTTGTCGATTAAAAACCAAATATGAATGATATCGATATACCATGCCTTTAAATGTGGTCATTCTAATATGCCAGCTTTATCTTCCATAAATAGAAAATGCATGGTAATTTTTACCCAGTCTAAGTCAAAGTGTTTGACTTTATCTCCCAATTATCAAAATTTATAATTCGTCTTCAACGCATCTGCCCGATTCCAGAATCCACTTTTCATCATCTCGCATTTCTTGAAATGCACAGTTAAATTCTAACATACCGTGATTTGCTGCATAAACCACCCTCTGTAGAAAATTTAATTTGGTCCAATTTTTTTTTTAGTAAAACCAATTATTTTTCCGCAAAATAAATAAATTAAGATTCACGGTGTGCAATTTCCTAAAATTTTAACTACTAAATTAACAGCCTTGTAGTTAAATCAAGTTTTAAATTTTATACGGGGGGTAGTTTATACGGTAAATTACGGTATTTGCTTCACCCATTTCTTCCTTTTCGTCGGAATCATGCGGAGTTGGTTCAAAGTCCAGGTCGTCCCAGGTCACTTATTTTTGAAGTGTTGTTCTTCAAAGTATCCAATATCTGGTTCAAGGTTGCTAGGGCCTTATTTCCGACTAAAGATTGATCACCGCAAAATTGGAGCTGCAAACCTTACTTAATAGTCCATATGCAACTTGTACTCAATTTGATTGACAAATATCATTTGTTTTCCCAACAAGAGTGCTCCTTTTTTAATTTGTTCGAAATCGACGTTTCTCCGGAATACATTGACGGCTTCAAATTGAGCCTGACGCTGTAAGAATAAATGAACTTGTTTAATACTGAGAAGATTGTGAGGTTTCAATACTGCGAAGAAGCAAAGCGTGTCATCAGGGCTGCGAATGAACGAGTTGTTCTTGGAGCTGAGGCGAGTTAACTCTGGCCTTCACGCAGACTTGAGATAAAGGAAGCTCACCGGAGGAAGTTCCGTTGTTTTGATAGCGTCCAACTCCTTCTTCAACTCCTTGCCGCTCTGCTACCTGACTTTTTCTAGCTTAAAACCAGACACAAGTACTCACCTTTAGTTCTCGGGAAGGAAGCAGCCTTCTTAAATTTTTTATATGTAGTGGTTTCAATTACTTAATAAAAGCTTTGGTATACGTACTTGTTTATTATAGAGAAATCGTTTTTTTCCTGAGGAAATTTCAGAATGGAAAGAAGAGAATTTTGCCACCCTTCAAATTGTTGTTCGAGAATAATAGGTATCTTTGACATTTTTGGAGAAAGTGGAAGGTTGAAAAAAATGTACTGTGGGAATTCTTTAGTCAAAATAAACACGAGTATGTGTTGCGTTATGTCACCCAACTCAACCATGTAACTAGCTGTAAACTTTTTACTATTTAATTATTTTTTGATTTTGGAATAATACTATAGATGATTCAGAACGAATACATCTACATGTATATAAATTTTCTCTTGAAAGGAAAAATAGTTTTTAAACTAAGTGGAAAAAACAGTTGCATATCGTTATGTTAATTTGTATTTTAAATCAATATTGCAAAGTTCACATAAAATTTCAAACATACGTATACTGTATTTTCATTTATCTTATGCAAATTTATTTATATTTTTTTAGGAACTTTATATTATATAAATTTCATTTTTTTATCAGAAATCAAAAAAACACGATTTGATATATATCACATACATTTCAAGAAGATATAAATCATACAACGATGAAATAAGTAAAATAAATACTGTAATAAATCGTCTATCTAATTGTTTTACAATTCAATGCCATTCTTTTTACACATTTCGGCAGCTTTTGGATGCCCATTATATGCGGCTAGTTTCAAGTATTGTTCTCCCTTCGGCTGATCTTGTTTCGTTCCTAATCCATTATAATATAAATTTCCAACATTATACATTGCTGTGGAATTTCCATGATCAGCTGACCGTACGAAATACTTTATTGCCTGCGAGACATCTTTCTCAACGCCATCTCCTTTCCATAGACAGTGACCAAATCGCAGTTCAGCTTCGGGAATTTCACCGTCATCTGCTGCCTGTTTGAATAACATTGCGGCCTCACGTAATCGTTGTTCTTTAGGTTTCTCGTCTTCAGGCCAATCAAGAATGTTGTAGTAAACGTAATAACCGACCCAATATTTTCCTAAGAGGTCTCCGATAGCCTTATATTCGCTAAAGGTTCTCCATGCAAGTTGTTTATCCCCATCTTTCTTTTTGTGCTCTTTGATAGCGTCAGTTAGTGGCATTTTAGGGTTCTCGATTACTAATTCTTCTTCTTCAAATTCGGGTTCTAATTCATCTTTCTGGTCGTCTTCATGTTGCGTCAGCGGAAATTCTATATTAGCAAATTTTATTCTAGGTGACGGTGGTGGCTGTGTTCTTTGCCAAATAGGTTGAAGAACTTTAAAGAAATCGGTTATAGAAGGTCGCATACTGGGATCATCGTGTACGGCTAATAGATTTCTTGATTAACTAGTGATTTATTATTTCTAAACTTCACCAACAAAGCATCAAAGATCAAACATACCTTCGTTTACTATTCTTTTATATTCATGTGGAATATTTGGATTAGAGAAGGATTCTCGATATTTGTCAGTAACTACCCTCTCACGTATTTTAACGATATCAAATGGAATATCCCCATAAGGTCTTTTTGCTTCTGCTATTTCCCATAACAATATTCCGAAACTAATGATCATAATACCAGAAAGCTTAGTGTGTATATATATATGGGTTATATTGTAAACGTGATTATGAATATAACAATAAATACCTGTAAATCTCACATTTAGAATCATAATAATATTTTCGATTACTTAATTTTTCAGGTGCCATGTAACGTACATTATCAGCATTTGCTCCAATATTTCTTGTAGCTTCACTGAGCCCTCTCGATAGACCAAAATTCGCAATTTTTGCCTTATAACCATCATTAATCAAAATATTTTCACTTCGGATGTCGTGATGGATAATATTGACTGCTTGAAGATAAGATAGTCCACGACAGATATCCAAGGCAAATTCAATCTTTCTTTTCCAATCAAATAAAGGTGGTTGAGACTCATAAAATTCTCGAAGATTTCCATATTGTGCCCATTCGGTGACTAGATATTTTTTATGGTTTTCATTCGCTAGACCATAGAATTGAATGATATTTGGTGAGTCGCGTAATTTCTTTAGAATCGTTACTTGTGTTTGGATATCTGATTCCAAGCCATCTGTTAATGTCACTTCTTTGAATGCTACATCAGTATAATCTGTTTTTCTTCTGCGTTTTTGCACTTTTCCTTCAGTGTTTTCTCTCAGTGGATAGAACTCACTAATACTCAATGGCTTATCTTCAATAACGTCTAATACATGTAATTGTTGCGTGTTGGTTGTTTGTTGTTGTCGTTGATAAAGTGAATTTAGTGCAGAAATTCCTTCGATGACTAAGGAAATTTCACCATGGATATCTGTAATACCACCATGAATTGTAGCGAGATACTATGAAATATATAAAATAAAATATAAATTCAATAAATAGTTACGTGGTCATTAATTAATACATACATTCTTAAAATCGTTCATATCTTCTTCAATTACTTCGCGATCTTTTTGCTGCTGTGATTTGGCATCAATAGTGATAGTAAACTGCAGTAACGCCATATACCCATCAAATTCCCTCGTCAACTCATTAAAATTCTTTTTGATTGTGTTAGCCTGTAATATGCCAGTTGTGAATTTCCTCAAACCCTTTATTTGTGAAATTTCTGCGATAAACCGTTTAGTTTTTTCGATCGTATTTTTAAAAATTTGAAATGTTCTAAAATTGTCAACGCTCTTAAAGAAATCATGATATTCACTTTTACGTATTTCGAGGTTTTTCACGGCTGCTTCCGCCGCGATCATACGATCTAGTAGTACGCCACAAACACGTTTATTATGTTCGGCAGTTTGATAGAGTTGCACAGTTCCTTCAACTAATTTCAATACCTCTGATATCAATGGTGCAAATGCTGCGAAAGTTGTGATTGTTCCAAGACCGCCAGAAACGACTGATACAACTCCCACTACATTGGCTGTTGTAGTTATGGTGGCGTCGATTGCTTGAACTGTATCGCCAGTAGCGTTCACCATCTGTGAAAAAGCAGAATTTCTTGTGTCTATGGGTGGGGATAACAATCCATCACTACTACGTGAGCTTGTAATTACTAAATTGTCTCCTGAAAAATTTTTTGTCATAACTATTATTATAATGTGGTTAATGAATATATGTGTAGTTCAAAAAGTTGTTGATAAAGTCGATTTTGTCTTGAATTTATATTTTTGATCTCGGAATTCGGAACAGATCTTTCCATTTTTATGTTTGTACGTGTATAATTACTACGTACTCCGGAATGAGACCATATCGAGGGTCTTTAAATGCTATCGTTATCACGTAACACAGTAAACATATTTGCTAGCAAAATATTCCACCTAGAAAGGACAATACGTATGTACGTACGTACATACCAATACATATCTGTATAAATTTATTCGTTACGTGTATTTCTTAAGTTTTTTTATACATGTATAATTTCTTCGTTGTATTCTGGTATGAAAATAAAAAAAAGCGTCTTTGCATTATGAGGTTAAAGTTCAATATTTATTCATACGTGATGAAATCAAGCCTAAACCTAATATTGAACGAAAATATTCTATAAATTATACGATGAGGGACAACAATTTTGTAATACAGATGGAAATTTTTAAAGGATTATAAATATAACGCATCGCATGAGTCGAAAAATTCTCTTTGGTCCAGGTTAAACGGTGTTATTCGACTAAGCTATTTGTTTTCTTGTTGGCGTGCCTGTCCTAATGCTAATGCTAGATTAGACAATTCTATTCAATATTATATTGTGATAACGATAAAGATAAACAATAGCTAGAACTTTTAGCGTTAATCACCTTATCAAGTGTAACAACATGAACATCCTTTTCAGCGTTCCTATGGTTTAGATTAGATAACTTATTTTTTTTTTTAATATGAAAATTTCGAAAATAAGTTGGAGCGTACATGTATGTCAATGTTATACGTAATAATTATTTTGACAAGATGGAAATTTACTTTCGAATAATCCATATATGTTATTCGTAATTTCTAAGAATATCAGAGTTAACAATAATTCTTGATCGAGAATATTATGAGGAGATACATGTACTTCAAAACTGTTCAATCAACTCTGACTAGAATGTGACATATCGATATAGTGACACTATCGCTATATTAGAGAAGATTCTGTTCCGATCTAACAGTTTTACTGTATCTAAAATGTTATTGTAAATAGTGTTACTGTAACCAGAGTTGACTGCAATGACATCAAAGTTGCGCCCCAATAATCAATTCTGATCGGAAATAATTCAAAGGCAGACATTAGCGCTAGGCATTTTTCTATTATTAAACTCATTCCGAAGCAATCAATAGAAATTTACAGTGGCTTTCATAATTATTGCAAACACCCTTATTTATCCAAACAATATGATTGAGTATTCATTTCAATCTTAAAACCTTAGTATTTTTTAAAATAAATTGAGGGATCTGCATCAAAATTTCCAATTGTAGTAAATTTAACCATTTACATGTACCGGTATTTACCTAAATAAGCATACAAATTTCAATCGGAGATATACATGTATCTCTGACCTTAAAGCACGTGCAATCATATGAATTGTGACAATTAATTTTAGCATGTATCATTGATTATTATATTATAGATTTGATCATGTTTATTGCACATGTAATGATATTATTATGGAGTTTGTTATCAAAGTCATAAAAACATCGTTTTCAATTTGTGTTTATTTAATTTATTTTATATATTACCTAAGCAATATTGCTCAAGTGTTTAACAAGTATGCACGCATTTATGATCACTTTGTAGCAACTGATGGCTCGAAATTTGATGATGATGTTATAGGTTCTTTTTCACGGCAGATCCTTATTTTTGGAGTCCGGCAGCTTTACTTTGACATGTAATAGGATTTATAATTATCGGATGTTCCAATTTTAATCAGAATCATTGCTAGCAGGGATGTATAAAGTTCTCAAGATACAGCAATCCTGCGTGCAGTCTCACCTGATAATCGATTAATATGCATACACACCCCTACAGTATATTACCGGAAATTTCAAAAATGAATGTGGCACTTTGGCACACGATATCTCGACATCCAATGTTCCCATTCGAACAAAAATATTGCCATTAGATTCATATAGTCGAGGCGAATCTAATGATAATATTTTTGTTCGAATGTGATCACTGGATGTCGAGATATCGGGTTTCAAAGTGACAAATTCATTTTTGAAATTTCCGGTAATATACTGTAGGGGTGTGTATATCAGATCCGCGAGGCACTTTCATTAGATGATTCTTACGATGTTTGAGTTTCCAGAATTGGTAGTTGTGGATGATAATATAATCCAATTCTGACAGGTCTCTCTGTCAGCGCTTCGGAAAATGAGCAGAATCAAGATGAGAAAGAGAGAGGCGAACTGCAATCACAAGAGCATGATGACAAATAATCACAGCAAATTCGAGATTATAGCAATAACAAGCTAATTTGAAGTCACGCACTTCTTTTTCATTAGTTATTTCCTCACACGCATATCTTTGGTGCTCCACAAATTTCTTCCAGAATACGGTGTTGGCAATAAGCAATCTGCTTTTCAATTGGATTTTGGAAATTTCCATAAATAGGATAAATAAGTTCCAACGTATTCAGCTTCCTCACGATGATTGAGTGTCCATTCAAATGCTACTAAAAATTCTGTAAGTTTAGTTTTGTTATCAAGAAAGCTATCTAACAACTTATTCATTGATTCTCCTCTTTGTAATGAAGCCATATCAGCAAAGAAATTGTCTTTGAGATATGTCGGAGCCTACCACTTACACCATTGAATCAAAGCATCCAGATATATTGCCTTGCTTCAGTATAGATATTATTTTTCAAGGTGTGATTTCGTTATTTCTCAAATTCTTTGTGATCGATATAGTAATTAAGACATTCAATGAGATCTTTGTGAAAATCAGTGTACTTCAACCCAAGCTTTAATTTCATGTTGAACTTTATGTTTTTTAGCATATGTCATATATAAAGGTCATACATACTTGGTACCACGCTTGTTAATCAGAATAGAATGAATATTAGAGAATTGTTATTTATAAGAATAGTTTGTGGTGCAGTACTAAAATATGAACAAGTCTCATTTTGAAACAATGCACCAGCAATATAATAAAAGAGATCCTTATTAGTAACACCTGTGAATATTTCAAACAGCATCAAAAATAATTGCTTTTGTATGTTCAAATAATGTGTTTCAAGCAGTTACTATTATCCAATTCGAATTCATAAGAAAATTCTGGATTGTGTTTCTACTGGAAAAGAAGTATTTTGAATTTATCACATCATGTAATATATAATTGATGTTAATCAAGTTATAAATATCTTTGAGTGTTCAAATTTTTATTGTTGAATCATATTTTATCATGAGCAGTAACTGGATTTGAAAGATTGAAATACCAGCTTCTTTTGCAAAATGAATTTTTTTATTAATACTTTCTGGTATGTAATGTTTAGTAGACACAAAACATATAAGTTGAGCTGGAGTGAATGGATGATTGTGATGAAGAGTGATTTGTGAAATGTAAAACTGATCATTATACATGTAATTGAGATAAACAAACCACGAACAATTACATTTTTATTTCTATTCTTTCTTGTAGGATCTTTAGTCTTAGATTAAATATGTCATAATTATCACAAGCAAAAACCTGAGTACAATGCGTCCTATCAATATAATTATTATTTTTGAGAATTACCTTAAATTCTTTTGTTTTGTCAGTGATAACTTTGAAAATTTTGAGGGAAGAATAGGTTTGACCTTGTTGAAAAAAACATGATTTCGTGTGGTTTATCATCATATTTTTATTTGTTTCATTAATTCACAAAAAATGATTTTTAAATACAATAAAAGTGCGATACTATATTAAAAATTTAATTTTTAATATATCAGTAACAGATCATTGAGCTATTTTATAGTCATACTACAGGAACCAAATATCAGACTATGGGAACACTACAAGAATCAAACAAGTATCTAACGTCAAACTACTAAAACCAGACGCGAAATATTGGACTTCAACCAAGACTCTTACCCATACTGAATCATACATATATTTCATATACATACTATCTATTCTACGTTTAGGGGTACGTATATATATACATGTGACTTAATTATCTGACCTGAGTAATCAACATTAGTCCAATTTCAATTAGTAAAATAATTCAAATACTGTATTTACTAATTGAATCTGTGACCTAATATTTCAACGAATTTGGTGCTTGATCACTCAATTTATAGAAATATTTTTCAAATGTTTTAAAATTCTGTCGGTTTCTAGCCTTCTTATGGTGCAATAAAATCCAAAGATAACTATCTCCAATGATAATACAAATTCGTTTATTTATTTGTGTTATTGTAAAGTAATACATAATACATGTATAGGGGAAGTAACATATGTGAGTTCGTTATCAAGGGGGGATGTACAAATATCTCACCTCTCACATGATATATAATATATAATATATGATCACAGGATCTAACTTCTCCTCAAGGGAGGGAGGGGTCAGCCCTATAGTAACTCATAATGAGCTCATATATTTCATGTACCTAATGATAAAAAAACCAAACACGTAAAAACACAACAAAGACACTATTTAATTTAAACAATGAATTATTATTAAATACCCTAGGTTAATAATAATTCACTGTCGGTTTTTTTGTTAAAGTGACTTATTTTCGTCGTTTTCATATCCTTGTCAGATAAAAAAAAAAGAGAAAGTATGTGCGCATTCGCTTGTTAGCTTAAGTAAGGCTTCTGATCATCAGAAATTCTATATACGTAAATTGTACGGGGACGACTATAGTAACGGTGATGCATGTATCTTGTGCATGACAGTAACTAATTTTTATGTCAATGGTTAGGCTGATCGAAATACATGTACATGGCGTATATCCGTAGAATTCACTCGTTACAGTAACAGTAATCATTATCTGATATTGATACGGTAACATTCTAATTTGGAAAAAAGGACTCGTGAGCATGAATTTTTTCTTTTTATCAAAATTTCCCTAACGTTATTTTGAATAATTAAATCAACTCAAGTAAATGCTTTACATATACGTATGTGGTAAGCACTGTATTAAATTACATATAATATTTTATAACGTTTTATGCCAAGATACACAGATTTTAATTGATTTACAATTTAATTGAGACAGCCAAACAATTATTCATGATATCAGCCTTTCAACACAATCATAACGTACATACAGACAAATAGGTATCTACACGCGCGCGCGTATTAACTAGAACAAACGATCGTTAGAAAACAAACAAATATGCGCATTGCATTGTAATAAAGATCACGGAACGGGTCGAGAAGTTTAACATTGTACCAACGACCATCATATCGTTCCAACCAAGAAAACTGTTTGTTTGTCATCTCAAAGTTAGGTAATAATTAAAGTCACCTGGGAACGAACGTTATGGATATCTTTAAATACTACACTCTTCTTTACTGATTTTCATTGAACATCTCGATATGAAAGGTCTATTATGATCTTGGCACGACATGAAAGAGTTCGCGTGAGCAATACCACAATTTCCATATGTTAACACGACATGCGTACGTACATGGCGATAGCACATGCATGCACAAAATTTTCTTGGATCTATGTACATGTAATAAAAATTGTGGTGTTTTCTAATTGAAGGTTATCGTTATGGTTTCGTGATTTACATCGTTATCGTTATTCTTGTCAACAGAATGCATGCATTCAAATTCATGCATGCATGGCATACGCACACATGCATGACACATGACAAATTTAACGATGAACGATAAAATAAAAAAACCAGAATGCAATGATATGTGATATAAAGGGGGGCCTAAATAATACATGTAATAGTTTTCTTACCGTTACCGTTTCTAGGTTGTTTGTATTAAGCAAAAAAAATAAAGGGGAAAGAACAGATTAGGCGGATTGTTGTGACAAAATTAGAAGGTTCCCCTTTCGTTTTCCTTGGTATTTTTCTTAAATAATTCATTTTCTCGCCACTGGCGACGAAGTCAGCTGTATGCTCCCTGTGTCAAACCTAACTTACTTTTTTAATAATAATCACACATGCATTTTTTTACGTCACATTCACACTGCTTATAAATAATTCTTCTTGACAATTTCTCCACTGTTAGTAATTAACGAAATATTTCTATTTCTTAATAAACAACATAACGCTCTCTCAAATTACTAAAAAAGAAAAAATGATGAAACACTGCCCTTCAAATCAAACAACTTTTTCCACTACCACTACTACCACTACTACCACTCCATCACAATCACAACCCCAACCACAATCACAATCACAGCCACAACCGCAACATCAACAACGTCCTTCATACTCAACAATAATTCTAAAGCCACATTTCCCACCAAATCTTACTCCAAGAGAATTAATGGCCAATGCCGAAGAAAAATTACGAAAAACAAGTCAATTGACTAAAACACCTAACGCATTTTTAGCCTATCGAATGGCATTACAAAAAGAATTTGCAGCCCTTAATTTGTACCCAAATATGCGTGAGCTTTCGACAGCAGCTGGTAACGCTTGGGAAAAAGAACCTGAATATGTGAAGGCACGGTATAATCGTTTGATGCTTGACACTAGAACTTTATTTCAACGTGTTAGTCAAGCTGTCCTCCCATTACAAATTGTTCACGTAAACCCAAATGAACAGAGTAATCAAAATGATCGGATTCCAAATGATGACGTTAAAGATGACTGGAATCCTTCGGAGATCAATGCTATCATTGTGCCTGATACCGATACTAATGATTTATCACCTTCTTATATCAGTCTATCTGCATCAATAAATTCCGCATTAACGTATCCTTCTCCATCTCCTACTCCAACATCAACCTTCGTGGGATATAATCAGAATACTTTTTCGAACGAGTTTGAAATGAATTCGCCAAACTCAATTGATTCATATGATTATTTCAGTGGAAATCCATTCCATTTTTCTGATCCAATGTCACCAACATCCGGATATCAACAACTCGACTATCTTGCTAATGAAGCAAATAGCACTTCAAATTGCACGTCCTCTGCATCTTCTCCGACCTTTTCGAATGGCTCATCGATATATATTCCTCAATTAGATCATTATCATCATTATATTCAACAACAGCATATACAACAGCAGCAGCAGCATAATAATCAGCATTACAATACAAATAATACTAATAGTAATAATGCAAATAATAATAATAGCCACAATCATAATAGCCATAATAATAATAATAATAATAATAATAATCATAATCATAATCATAATCATAATCATAATAATCATAATCATAATCATAATAATCATAATAATCATAGTAGTAATAGCAGCAGCAGCAGCAGTAATAATAATAACAATATCAATAACAGCAATAATAATAACAACAACAATAATGATAACAACAACAATAATCCTTTTATTACAAATGATACTGCTGCAGCTGTTGTTGCCTCTCTTCCTGTGAATTTAGAAGAAAGGGTTATTGTTCTCGAGAGATTAGTTGCCGACTTATTGGCTGAACGACAGCACGTTCAAAGATCATGACGCAAGAGAAAAAAAAGTGTGTCTACAACCTCTATCTTCTTTTATTATGTACTATAATTGACTCGTTATGACAAGAATAACTACATGAAATCTACGCATATATAAGTCAACAAATATGTATAAAGCACAACAGAAAAAAATATATATGAGAAAGATGGATATTTGAAAAAGTAATATAAAAATCCCCTGCTTTAAAAGCAATTACGTACGTAGTTTGCTGTACATTTATTTCACTGTGTTATTTGGATGCATATACCGTGCAGTGTTGTCAATGGAAGCAAATGGAACTTTCCAATGGACTTCCAGTTGCCATAAAAGCCTCACTAGAAGCAAAAATTGACAACTCTGCATATACATGTACAGTATCCCCAAAAAAGTAACGCCCGATTTAAAATTATATAGTAAAACATATAAAAAAAGTTGTTGATTTTACAATTAACAGTTCTTTCATCTAAAAATGACATAATTAGCTTTAGATATATAATTTGAAATTTTCATATATAAAGCGTGAGAAAAAATTTTAAAATTTAATTTTACTTTCCGATCAAAACAGTCTTGCATTTTAGGTTGCCACAAGTAGTGTATTAATTTTTTGAAAATATAATCAATTAGCTTTAAAAGGATATAAAATTTAGAATAATTATTATAAAAAATTTAGATATTAGGTAAAAGGGGGTATTGTGGCGAAGTTAAAATCGTGATTAGTAAAACTTTTTACAGATAGTACAAATATTATTATATTTCTGGCTAAAAAACCAACTCAATTCTGTATAAGTCAAAAATTACAATGACATGACAAGTAATAAAAGAAAAAAATGATCATTTTGTGTGCCCGTTAATTTTGGGAGGGTATGCAATACCTCGATATCGGAATCACATGAAAATACCACCATTTGATTCGTTTAGACATGACGAATCAAATGGTGGTATTTTCATGTGATCCCAATCGCTGGATATCGAGATATCGCCTTGAAAATCACCGTATGTAGCTCTTCGCTCTGTATCGGTATATTAATTTTGGCATACGGGGACGATTCTCGATACCCTGCGATCGAAACCACATGAAATTATCACCATTCGATTCGCCTAGACATGGCGAATCGAATGGTCGTATTTTCATGTGGTTTCGATCGCAGATCGAGGTATTGCCCTTTAAATTGACGAAAATTAGCGAAAATCTGATGAGTTTCAGTGCGATATCTCGATAACTAGCGATCGGAATCGCATGAAAATACTACCATTCGATTCGTCTAGGCATGAAGAATCGAATAATGGTATTTTCATCGATTCCGATTTCTAGTTATCGAGGTATCGTTACTTTGCCACAACACCCCTTTTACCTTATACATAGCTTGAACATTCCCATGTTTACAATATAATTTTGGACGGGGCATGACTTTTTGGCGGTACTGTTCATTGCACTGCTGTGATATATATGTTGTGCCTCAGATGTCGTTTTGCCTCAGGTATCGATTCACGTGATCACTCAGGCCACTAACCCCAACTCTAGTAGAACTCCTATTCTAATTTGGGCTGATCGATACCTGAGGCAAATCGTCACCTGGGGCACAACATATATAAGCTTAAATTTTAACAAACAAAATACGTACTATGAATAAAGTATTGGGTTGAGACAATCAATAATTTAAAGTTCATATTTGAATCTTTTGACCTATAACGATAAAATTATTTTGAAATATCGAATTTGGGATGAAACTAACTATCACTATATTTAAAATACGATTCTTTTCGAAGATTTAATGTTTTATAAAAACTTAATCTATCTGGAATTCAATGAAAAAATCTACAAGTCCCGTGACTTTCAGCACGAATTCTCGTCGATAACTTGCACGGGCAATAGCAGAGTGCCACTGTTATCATAAAAGGAACTTGTTGATAAAGTTGTTTATTCTTTTATTACATCTGCTGCTATTATATTAAAGATTAATTTCTTGAAAATTACGTTAAATTCATGAATAGAATTTTGTTCAACACAATAATTGCGTCATTGACGCAGATCAATCAGACAATCAATCAACTTGACATTCACTTTACTGTGATGCGCAGAATAGTAGTGCAAATTTATTAATCATATATTAACTGATTATGCATTGTCAGCTACGCCCCCAAGGCAATAAAAAAACGAAAAACGCCAGATGATGCATTAACCCCCATTCGAAAGTTATGATGATGATGATGTTAAGATTATAAAAGCTGGAATGTGAATTTCGAAAAAAAATACGTTCGAAAAATCACCAAAATTATTATTATCTTGTAATCGATATGGCTTTTTTGTTTTTTTTCACACGTCCGCAATTCATCATTGTACATTTATTATCGTTATAATTTCTATTAAGATTGATGGACGGGAAAAACGCAGTTGATGTAAACTATTTTTATAATACGATCATCATTATGTATTTTTCATGATTTTATATAATTTATATTAAGACTACTGCGCCCAGGCTTTTTATACAGTATTATTTATATATAGCGTCAAAACCCACTAGTCTGTGAATCATTCGACGTTCTACATATCGGATTAACACTTGAAACAAATGAAATAATAATCGTCGCTTCCGCCCCTTATGTGCGTGTGAGCTATTTGACACAAACACCACACCACCATATTATAACTGTGTGCGTGCGTGTGAGTCAATTAAGAGCACAACATAACACCTATAAAAAGAGTGAGTCTCTGACAACTGATTTGAACACTGAATATTTTTTTCTTTTTTAGAAAATATCCGTTAACACAACACAAACCACACATAAATTTTATTCAGATTTTATCAGACACAATTTTTTTAGTATAAAAATATTTAAAAAAAAATGTCTTCTCAACACGACAAAATAAACAGCATTAATACACCCGTAGATACTCCCTCTCCTACCAATAACAACAACAGCGACAACGACGAAACTCCGTTGTGTAAGTGCAATATCGAAGCTGTCGCTCGTCAAGTCGGTAAACGTGGCAAGCCAGAAAACCGAGGTCGATATTTTTGGGGATGTGTAAAGTATGGGACGGTAGATGACGACAATAAATGCAATTTTTTTAAATGGTTTGATGGCGATTCCCCAAATTTTTCTGATAATGGCGGATATGGGAAAACCATACCTAGCCAACATTACAACAATAATCGAGGTCTAAATGGTAATGGAAAGCGACGTGCTGAATTTGAAGAAGATGACGAAATCCAAGATCAATTCTGGATAAATAACCGCGTATCTGGAGGAAATCCAAATTGGTTCGATAATGATGATGTTAATCATAATAATCCTAATAATAATAATCCACCACCAACAAAACGTCGTCATCTTTCATCACAACCTTCATCACCAAACATCGCATCGTCATCATCATCTCCATTATCGTCATCATCTTCATCCACTCCTATAATAACCTCCGATCGACATTACTCCACGTCTGAACTAGTCGAAGTTCTAAAGTATAATCTTATACGTCAAGAACGAGTCGCAAAAGCACAAGAGCTATCAAAAATCTATACACGAAAGGAATTGCAGCTTGCACAACAAGAGATGCAGAAAATGAAGGAAGAGATGGAATTAATGAAGAGGGAAAATCAAGTCCTCATAGGCGAAAAGAGGTTGTTGGAAAGGGAGTTAGAAACGGCAAAACAAGAGATCGATCAACTGAAAAGGAATAGCCTTTAACGGAATTTTTAGTAATTAATATGTAAATATCCAAAATCAGAAAAAAATTTGCGCCGGTATTTTGCTTACTTTATATATTGATACGCTTTTATAGCATATACATATATCGAACATTTATTTTGTATATTTATATATCAAAAGTATTTTATTTAGTATTCATATATTTGTATTCTTAGAAACGTTTTTATATAATTTACCTTTCAAATATAATTTATCAATAACGGTGATATTGCACAAGAAATCTTGATATCCAGCATACATTAACGTCAACGCTAATGAAAATCAAATTAACTAAACGCGCATAATACAAGCTAAAAATCGATATACTCGGAAACGACCATCAAAACAAAAATAATGACATCAGTGTAAAGATTAAAAGATAAGCTATGAATCAGTCGAATGTAAGTTCAAGTCCCAAGCTAACGAAAAGCAGCCGCGAGTTCATTCAACATCTACACAGGCCATCGAGCAATCTGATTGGCTATGTGACTAAACAGTAAATCGGATCATCCTAAAAAAAAACATCAATCTTTTTGTTTGTTTCTATTAAAAGCTTTTTCAAGGATTTTGTACCTTACGAGACCTCTCTAAAACACCAAAAGGCCCGAGCTTCGTATAGATTACTGGAATTTTGATTTCATAGAGACGATAGATTCGCCGGGTTTTTTGATTAACAAGAATGACTTCAGACACGAAAAAACGAATAAACTACTTCTATGATGGTGTGTCACTTTGAACTCTCTTTAATTTGACATATAGCTTATCGAAACAACCGTTTGCATTGAATTAACGATTAATCTTAACCATTCATCGCAGAAAAAATTACAGAGTATTTTCATGGCTCTGGACATCCAATGAAGCCAATGCGCGTGAAAATGACTCATTCCTTAGTGATGGCTTATGGATTATATAAAAAGATGGAGATTTTTGTATGCATTGCTTTATTGCGAACTCATCTAAACTAAAGACGCTTCAATTAGAGATTTAATCAGATTAACCTTTATTTGTTTTTCTCTTGCAACATTAATAGAGAGCCAGACCAGGGATAGTTGATGAATTAACACAATTCCACACGGACGAGTATATTGCTTTCCTTGGAAAAGTGACACCGAATAATGCGGATGATCATTTAAAAGAGCAAGTCAAATGTATGCTTATTTTTTTCAGATCTCTATGCTTCTCTTTTACTTTAATAATTTATTGTTTTCAATAGTCAGCGTCGGTGATGATTGTCCTGTCTTTGACGGATTGCTCGAGTATTGTCAGATAACAGCTGGTGGCTCTCTTGGTACTTTTACATTATTAGATATATAATTAAAACAATTTAGAAAAAGGTTTTTCAACGCTGAATATTTATTTTTTTATATCAGAGGGTGCTGCAAGATTAAATTATGGACTATGTGATATAGCGGTTAATTGGGCAGGTGGTCTACATCACGCAAAGAAAGCAGAAGCCAGTGGATTTTGTTACGTTAATGATATAGTAATAGCAATACTTGAGCTTTTAAGGTAATTTATTCACTTAATCCTGACTGTTACTCGCTCCTTAACAAACATAAGAATACTATTAATAATTGTTGTGTGATAATTGAAAGGCACCATTCACGCGTCTTATATATTGATATTGATGTTCACCATGGTGATGGGGTTGAAGAAGCATTCTACACTACCGACAGAGTGATGACATTAAGTTTTCATAATTATGGAGATTTCTTTCCGGGAACTGGTGATATTCATGTATGCTGAATTACTTCTGTCATAGAGCACTCAATCTTTCTTGACTTAAGCTGGCAAAATCTAAGCAAATTTTTTTTAATTATCAAGGATATTGGCTACGGTAAAGGGAAATACCATGCTGTAAATGTTCCGCTTCGGGAAGGAATTGACGATGTAACTTATAAAACGATTTTCGAACCCGTTAGTAATCATCTTTATTAATTATTATATGTTATTCCTTCATTAATTTATCTAATGCTCTTCTTAATCTCTTTAAGATTGTAACCCACGTGATAGAATGGTATCAACCTTCTGTGATTGTGCTTCAGTGTGGTGCTGATTCTCTATCTGGTGATCGGCTAGGCACTTTTAATTTGACCACGAGAGGTATTTACACATGTTTACCTTTTTAATTAAAATATGCTGTCAGAAAAATCGAGGAAACTAACAATAATGTAATATATATAGGACACGGTGACTGTGTTCGCTTTGTTAAAAAGTTTAATATTCCGATGTTGGTGTTGGGTGGTGGTGGATACACTATAAGAAACGTTTCCCGATGTTGGGCATACGAGACTGCCGTGGTAGTTGATAAAGAAGTTCCTATAGGTATATGTAGAAATAATTATGTCATGCAACTAACATTATTACTTTTTGTATGATTGTTCATCTAATACATCGATTCTTTTTTTGCGCTATTAGAACTTCCACATACAGAATTCTATGAATATTATGGTCCGGAATATAAATTACATTGTCCGCCAAGTAATATGGAAAATATGAATTCTCCCGATTATTTAGAGACCATAAAGTATAAATTATTTTTTATATTGTATTTACGCTTGCACACAATCAAGTCGTCATTCAGTGTTGGCTTTGTTTCTCAATGGTTTTTTAAATTTTTGTAGGCTTAAAATTTATGAGCATCTTGATCGATCGCGGCATACTCCAAGTGTACAAATGCAAGGTGAGTTTTATTTTTGTTTTAGTTTATTTATTTTTAAATATATCATTTAACAATATGTGTTTGATCATATTAGATGTGCCTCAAAATAGATTCATCGTAGATGATTATGATGATGATCAAGATGATCCTGATTCACGGAAAACACGTAATGTGTCTTGTGTTAATGCACACTTTACCTCAGCGTTGTCACTTGCCATTTGGCCGGGTTTGGCCATGGCCAAAATCTATTATTGGTTGCGGCCAAATTTTGCTGCTAATTTGGCCGTGGCCAAATGCCAACACTGCTTTACCTATTATCTACCTTACTACACGTAATTAAAAACAATGTCTCATATCTGATATTTACCGTAAAAATTATATAGAAAGATCATGGGATAAACGTATTGTACCCGACAATGAATACGAAGAATCAGATGACGAAGAGATGGAAGGCAATGGCACCAATTCAAGAAAAAGCAGAATTCCATATGTCCGTACATATCGATATAAATTACTATACGACCAATCGTCAAAAGATAAACATAAAAACAACAATAATATCCACACCTTAGCTACGACTACTACTGCTGAGATCGTTGACCAGATGGAAATAGATAATATCCCTGGACCAAGTTCTGCTGATGCTGTAGTACCACCTGTTAATGTTGCAGCAACAACAACAGACGCTGCATCAGAATCTCATACAGATCAAGTCCCAAATAATGATAATGATAATATTGATAATAATAATGGTAATGAGAATGAGAATGACAATGATAACAATGATGATAATGAGAATGAGAATGAGAATGATAATGATAATAATAATGAATCAACGGCAAAAGTTGTGCAAGATGCAGAAATGACGGAGGCAACAAATTCTGTGACTGAAGATCCCGCATTAGCACCAGATTCCATGGTAGATGGTGATGATGATAACAAAATTAATACTACTACTGCGACAACATCAGCTGCTACGACTTCTGCTAACACTACCAATAATGAACTATCATCATTATCATCGTCAACAACAACTGCTGATGCACCTACAGTTCCAGCTCCAGTAAGTATAGCTAGTCCCAATGAAGTCACCATTGTTACTACTGCTACAAATCAAGAAAGTAATCACCTTCCGGAAACTGAATAGAATCTACAGCATAGGTGCTGACAAAGACTATATATAAAGAAAAAATTTCTTTGATCACTTGAAGCAAAAATAATAATCATTGCTGATAAGCAATTTTGAATATATTTATTCAATTTTATGTTCCATCGTTTCAACAAAATAAAAATTGGTGTCATATATAACGAACGGGTCTTTATGTTAACATGCTTGGAGCGGCATCATAATCACAAACGTAATCCAAGTCACATAGTAAATCTTAATAATTTTATTGATCATTCGGAAAATTTGGCACATAAAAAGCAATCCTTATTAATGTAAATTTAACAAAATCAATAGATAGATATAACAAAACCTTACAAATATTATATTCAGATAATCAATTGGAACATTAGTTTGGAATCGTCTTTGAAATCGGCAGGTATGAGTTTTCTTTCGTCGTTAATATTACTGGTTTAAAGAGACGCGCGTGCAAATAGCCACGGCAAAAAAAGTGTCGGGTCATGTGATCTGTAATAGGTCCATAATATTAGATATTAAGTATTAGGATTAGGGTTAGAGCTGAGATAAGGTTGTAAATAAAATTGCCTTCCCAACATTTTTTGACAGTACACCAAGCTAGATTTTCGCATTTTTGTCTTTTCTTATTTTCTTGTGCCGGATTTGTTTTGCCGGGTTGATAAAAAATTTGCTATATTCCTATTGGTTGCGCATAATTTTTGCGCATTCTTATTGGTTGGATTGGTTCATCATCACATGACCCGACACTTTTTTTGGCAGTTAATATTATGACTATCGTTATGTCGTAATTGCTTTAAACCAATCACAGCAGGAAACCTTAGCGAAATTCTCAGTCATGCTTTCCACGAGTGCCCATTCGTGAATATCGATATACCTAAAAGGCAAAAAACAAAAATGTCGCGTGTTTTCATGCGATGATGATCAATTTGAATAAAGATTTGCTTCTAGAATTAGGATAATCAAATGATAACGATAATAAATAAACAAATTTACGTTCGTCAACAATTATATTATTTATTCGTAAAAAAATAACAGAATTGTAAAATTTTTGTTGAATCGGAACATTAATAGCCTTTTGACTCGGTGGTTCAAAAAAATGATATATATATATACGAATGGAGAGAATCGATCACCGAGTCAATTCGGATTCAAATTTTATTACGTGTAGTTATTCTAATGAGCTACTTGAAATTTTGCGTCAATTATGCCTGTGCATCTTAACGTTTAAATTACTCGCATTATAAAAAGACAGCGAAATTCCCTCACTTTCAGCAAAATTGACTCACTTTAACTTGATCATTGTTTCTCCGAAAAGAAAGGGGTTAGTAGGGAAATCAAAAAAAATTTAAATTGCACACATAAAGCTTTTCACGAGCGCCCATTCATTATCTCATACAGTATATACTAAATACCTGATCAAAGACAAAAAGCAAAAATGACGCATCACATCTATATACATAAAAGTATGTTATTAATCTATACCGATACTGATACGCACCTGTATTGGTATACATAAAAGTATGCTATTAATCTATACCGATACGCCTCGAAAATTAGAATACAGACAATCAATTTAAAGAAATAGTCGCGTGGAATCGTGTTTGTTTATGTAAATAAAACATTATTTGGAATTATTCGTCTTTTGAAATCGACAGTTATGAAGCTAAATATACCGATTAACTAAATTTTGTCATTTATGCTCACTTTAAGCAAAATTGCCTCACTTTAACTCGATCATCGTTTCTCTGAAAAGAAAGGGTTAGCAAGGAAATCAAGCAATATAAATTATACACATAAAGCTTTTCACGAGCACCCATTTATTATCTCATTCTTACAGTTCTGAATACCTGGTCAAAGCAAAAAATGACGCATAAAGTATATACGCTTCATTGAACGAATTAAGTCGTGATTTGCTTATGAGAATCAGAAAACATTATCATCGATTACACAGTCAATTATTCGTGATGCAAAGAAAGGAAAAAACTCCGCACGGGCTAGGAAGTCAGAAAAATGGAGGATAGCTATGTACATGTCGTTATAAGATTAGATTAGAGGTACCGAACAATTAATATTTCATATATATTGTGTATTTTTTACTATTAATTTTACAATGTAACATCTGAAACCGAGTATCCTTATCATTTATATCGTAAAAGTTGAAAAAAAAAACAGAGTAATCATTTGAAATAAAATAAAATCTAAATATTTGATGACAAACAACGCGTTTTTTGCTTGCTAATTGCATGTTTGCTATTTACTTTAATTGAATATCTAATTGTTTCTCCAAAGACAGAATGTGAAGAATCATTGTATCAAACAGGTCAATTATTTATTCACTGTTACTATTTTAAACTTCTATGCTTTATAAGAACATAATATAAAACCTCTATATAGTAACATTTATATTTGCAAAATTATTATGAAGGTTTGATCTATCTATACTATTGATAAATATATATAATATCGATATTATATATCACCACCCTCGAAAGTTATTTTTAATTTTTTCAATTTTCACAAATCCAACATATCAAAAACAAAATGGATAACTACATACAAAAAAATATCGTGAAAGCGAAAATTGAATTATCAGGCCTTAGTTGCTCTAGTTGTGTTCGATCAATCGAGCAAAATTTAGAGAAATTGCCAGGAGTCTTGAAGATACATGTAAACTTGTTGATGAGTAATGCTACTTTGGAATTTGATCAGACACAAATTACACTCGATCGAATTACTCAAACTATTCGAGATGCTGGGTATAAAGTTGAACATGTTAACATCGTAATTACACAACAACAAGACCCATCATTATCAAAATCTCTATCAAACTTTGATAATGTACTTTCAGTAGCAAAAAAAGCCTCTGATGATACAATGGTAGAAGATTATAATAACAATGATAAAATAAATGCAAGTTGCGCTCTGCAAAAAGTCCCGGATCTCAATATAACAAACATGATACCACCATCAACATCAACCAATTCAACGCGTACGATGGCAACTGTACGATTAGAAATAACAGGAATGACGTGTGCATCATGTGTTAGTTCAGTACAAGCAGCAATAGAAGGCTTGGACGGAGTGGAAAACACGCAAGTGAATTTACTCACCAATGAAGCAACGGTAAAATACAACCCAAATAAAATTGGTACGCGTGATTTAGTTGAAGCAGTCACCGAAGTTGGGTTTGAAGCTAAGCTAATATCGTCGACCACAAAAAATCATAATCTCGGAAATACGATACGAGAACGTGCAGAAAGAGAGCAACGACGATTAAAAGATCGATTTCTCATGTCACTTTGGTTCGCTATACCCACTTTCGTAATTTCAATGATATTTATGACTGCTCTACCAGCCTCCAATGATGTACGCATGGCATTCATGAAACAAATCATACCGGGATTAGGAGTGGGAACATTAATACTTTTCTTATTGGCAACACCTGTTCAACTCTATCTCGGTGGTCCGTTTTATGTGAAAGCATGGAAATCATTATATTATGCGCGGGTTGCAAATATGGATACACTAGTGACAATCGGTACGACAATCGCGTATGTCGGATCAATTGTGAATGTTGTTGTCCCAGTAGCATATAAGGATGATCGACCAAGCCAACAATTCTTCGAAACTAGTGTTTTATTATTCACGTTTATTTTGCTGGGAAGATGGATGGAAGCAAAAGCAAAGGGAAAAACATTCGAAACTATAACGAAATTAATGGAATTACAACCAGATAAAGCAGTTTTGGTGAAATTTAATCAAAATGGAAAAGTTGATGATTCGTTTACTGAACATGAAATCGATTCGGATTTAATTCAAGGTAAGTTATTTGATCCATTATTAAATTGTAATTTAGAGTTACGTCTAACAATTTTTTTATAAATAATTCTAGTCGATGATATACTTAAAGTAAATGCGGGAGGAAGAATTCCATGCGATGGTTAGCATTAAATTAATTCGAATTCTTGGTTAAGTATTAATTATTATAACCGAATAATCAATTAATTAGGGAAAATTTATCGTGGAACAACGACATTAGATGAGTCAACGATAACTGGTGAATCGATTCCCGTATCAAAAGGAGTCGGTGATATCGTAATAAGCGCAACAGTAAATCAAACATCATCAATCTGGATAAAAGCAACAAGAGTTGGTACAGACACAACAATATCACGTATCATAAATCTCGTACAAGAAGCACAATCAAGTAAAAAAGCACCAATCGAAGAATTCGCCGATAAAGTATCTCACATCTTTGTCCCAGTTGTGATTGGAATAGCATTGTCGGTGTTTATAGTATGGGTTGGCTGTGGCGGAACTGGTAGAATCCCAAGTGATTGGTTAGGTAAAGACCAAAATTATGTGATGTTTTCATTATTTTTTGCTATTTCTGTGATGGTAGTAGCGTGTCCTTGTGCGATGGGTCTTGCTTCACCGACTGCGATCATGGTAGGCACGGGAATAGCAGCAAAACTTGGAATATTGATAAAAGGAGGAGGAGAAGCAATTGAACTAGCAAACAAGATAAATGTGATTGCATTTGATAAAACGGGAACTTTGACTTTCGGTAAACCCAAAGTTATCGACAAGAATTTATTCTATCCTAAAGATCCATTGGAAAATGCACGACAATGTGAACAATTATTAATGCGAATTATCGGTTTAGTTGAATCGTCAAGTGATCATCCATTAGCAAAAGCTGTTTCTCAATATGTCGTGGATCAAAACACCACTGACCGAAACCCGAGCAACGTGACACTAAAGGCTGTTAGAGAAGCGCCTGGTAAAGGACTCAAAGCAAGAGTAAAAGTTGATTCCGCACCCCCGAATTTCTTCCCTGCTGATGCTAATCCGTATTACAATGTGTTTATCGGGAATGAAAGATGGTTATTTGAGCATAATTGCATTTACCCATCTCATATAACAAAGCAAGAAGCGAAAAATACGCTGCGTCATTGGAAGTTAAGCGGTTCTTCGGTCGTGTTGGTTGGATTGAGAAAGGCGTCGGAGAAGAAAGGAGGATTGATACTGGCTCAGTTTGCTGTGGCGGATACACCGAGATCAGATGCAGCGAAAACTGTTGCAGCATTGAAATCACGGGGAATTGATATTTGGATGATTACTGGGGATAATCCGATC